TGTAACCCGGATTCCTAAAAAAAAAGTTGCAAAAGGCTTCCTCACCCCTCCCAAGCTCGTTAGAGCTTATGTTATTAAAAAAAACAAGTCCTTTTCAGAGCTATAATTAGAGGAAACTTGGCCGCCAGGGTGGCGAGCCGCAGCACGCTTCCCACCGTGCACCGCGGCTTCCGGCGTGTCTCCAGCACTCACTTCCGGTCTGCGTTCCGCCAAGTGAGAATGGCGGCGCTGGTGTTGAGTGTCCGCCGCGCGGGCGGCGTGGGCCTGGCCGTGGCTCTCAGGGATGGGTGGAGGCTGTGGGTGGTGAGGGCGGGGGAGAAAGTAGCTCGGCTTCCGTCCGCTCGGCCCGTCGGAGGGCCCTGGAGCCAGGGAGGACCGCGGCTCCGTCCCGCAGTTTCCTCACCCTTGGTGCGGGCTTAAAAATGGACTTTGCTGCTGAGCGCCCGGAGGCCCGAGTGAGACGGGAGCGAGTAGCCAGGCCCCCCGCGGGAATCTGCCCACCCTGGGATGCTTAGTCGTGACCAGAAATGCCTCCTCGACACTGGGGGCTCGGTGCATGCCGCCTGCGTTCCTTCTGCATCCGAGGGGGAGGCGGCCACTCTGGACATCAACTCAGTGACACGTACCCAGTCCATCCAGAACGCTACGGCTATGGACGGAGCTGCTGAGGAGTAGGGACACCTGATGAGTAGGTGTCCAGAGACAGCACGGTCAGAGTCACAGACGTGTGTGAGTTCAGGTGTGCGTATGTACTAGGGCTTCAACTCCGGGCCTAAGCGTGCGGTCCCGGCCCTTTTTTGCTCCAGGCTAGCACTCTACCACTTAAACCACAGTTCTGCTCCTGACTGTTGGTTAATTGGAGAGCCTGCCCTGGCCGGCTTCGAACCGTGATCCCCAGTTCTCAGCCTCTTGAGCAGCTACGATTACAGTGTGAGCCACAGGCACTTGGCTTCAGGCTCATTCTCAGCATCTTGGTAAAGAGATAAAACAAGGTTCACCTGAATGTGAGACACCAGCACATAGTCAACAGGGGACAAAAGCAAATGGATGATTTGTACCTTCTTGTGTCTACAAATGAATAAAACAATAAAGATTTTCAGTAGCTACAGTATTAAAGGGAAAAGGATTTTCAGTGTTTGAATAATATTTCCTGTTGTTCCTTTGGGACTTCAGAAGTCAGGATTGAGGATATGATTTTTCACTACTACCAGCAGGTGGTGCTAGGAGAATAATTTTTTTGGGGGGGGGGG